ATTCATAATCACACGGCGGCGTTTAATCTATTTGGCTCCATGTCTTAATGAGGAATCATCTCTGAACCCTCAAATTTCTAAAAATACCCGATGCCACAAATTGATTTACCATTTGCCCCATGTGGATAATGTTGATTTCATACTAAAATAGATTTAAGTAAGAATGCAGATGACAAACATCTTGAGCTTCCCATTTATTTAGCAGCCAAAATAAAGTATGTTTACTTTTGAAGCCTGAAACAGGATTACGTTGAGCTCCCAGGTGGGGGGGGGGTGAGTAGTCACCTCTTTCTGTTTACCTATAAAAGTTTCAAATTGAGTTCTATAGACTCCGTGACAACATGGATTTATGATTCTTGAAAGGCATGTCGTTTTGTTCAAATTAAGGGAAATAGGACAGATATTTAGAAAGCCGACACAATGCGGATACCAATGTTATTGTGAACAATTTTCTTTCCAACAATGCTTTAAAAATGGTTCATAGAAAAGGTATTTCTTGTTGGTCGATGAGGCAGACGACCCTTTATGGACAGCAAATATAAAAAATAATGCATGATCTCATGTTGAAAAATAGGTTTATTTTTCTTTAGAAGAATTTAAGTGAACCCGATATTACTCTACTCAAAATTCTCTGCTAAAAGCAGAGCTATGATTTTCAAATATGTCATGAAATCCTGCGTGTGGAGGCCAGATCATTCTGCTCATTTCTGGAAGATTTCCTCCATCTGTCAAACGTCCAACCCGACGTTGATCATAAGTGATAACAGGGGGAAAGGAAGCGGAAATGGGAGAGAAAACACTGGTTGGCAGATTGAGTCGCTTTTTAATAGCATGGATCATGAAGCGGAAACGGGTCATTGAGTCATTACAAATAACCCAAAAAACAGCAATCATCTAGAGGTTAATGTACCTGTAATTCTACATCTTAAGCTGATAAGCAGATCCAGTGACTTTGTCTCTATGAGGGCTTCACTGTTCTTCTAAAATGACCTTAGAGTGACTGGACCCCCCCCTTATGGTTGAAGGGGGCCATATACGACTGGCTTTGAGCTGATTAGGGCATCTGGCATAATTAAACTCTTCTCGATTTGTATGCAGAAACCAGCTTCTCTGCAAACCACCGAGACTGTGAGGAACTACTCATTTGTAAGAGAGGAGAGGTTTGATTTTTTCTCTGGTATCGTGGTGGGAGATCAATATTCCTCGTCATTTTAAGTCAAAATCCATCCCAGCGTGACGTTTAGGCCGGGGCTTCCCGAACAGGTATAAGCACAACCTAAGCATCGGAACTTGTAAACGGAGATCCGTTTTTTTCTTGTCTTTTTTTGTGAAAATCACCTTTTTAGTCAAGGAGAAAAAGAGGTTACCCCTCCCTTTTGGAGCCAGGCCTGTATAGGGATGGGGATCGTTAATATTTATCGATATCGATACCTTTATCGATACTCCTTATCGATCCGAGTCTTTATCGATACCACTATCGATACTTTTCTGTTATTTGGTGGAAAGACGATGCGACAATATTTAACAAATAAATAATTGTATTTTAAATTAAAAGTAATTTTTAATAAATGTTGGCATCAGTAGTTTAATTATATATTCTAAAATAATTAGAGCAATATACAACTGTATTACTCATGTTTCTCGCCCAAAAAATAAATTTCCCTTTTCTTGACGTTACACTTGAACGCATCACGATAACCTAATTGTCGTTTTACTGATCCAATCTGAACACGTCTGAAACTTTATTTACTTTTCAAGCTAACTAGCTTGTATGCTGCCGATTACAACACGGATTTCACAATTACTATTGTAATAATAAAAAAAATGACCAGACTGGATAGTGGTATCGATAAGCCCAAACGTTATTGATTTTCGGGTTTTGAAAAAAGTAGAACCGGGTCCTCGATAGAACCGGGTTTCGATCCCCATCCCTAGGCCTGTATCAGTGCTCAGTTCAGAAAGACATTGGCTCTCATTAAGACTCTGAGTGAGGTGATCATTAATGCTCATTGGTCCGACTGTATCTCAACCGATAACCGTTTCCTGATAAGATGCAAAACGGATCAGTCGACTCATTGGTCCGGATGAGAGGACCTTCATTATGGCCGGGGTACCCACACGGAACAACCTCCACTGGCTGATTTAGCTAATGTTACAAGACACACATTTTTTTTTGCCATTGCACAAAGTTTGTACAGACCAATAATCAAACTGATATCACTCTGAAAGATCCTATCTCAAAATATTAGAATATCTGTTTTTTTAGTTTTCTTCAGCTGTATACCATAATCAGCGATATTAAAACAATAAAAGGCTTGAGATATTTCAGTTGATTTGTAATGAATCCAGAATGTATGACACTTCATGATTTTTAATTGCATTACAGAAAATAAAGAACTTTATCACAATATTCAGATTTTCTGAGACAGTCCTGTATACAGGTGTGAATGTACATATGAACAATTGAAGTGTACAAAGTTGAATGACCATAAAATGCTGACAGTAGCATGGTGTACATTAGTGGATAGAGGTAAATGTGACGTGCACGGAGAAACCCCCCCTATTGCTAATAATTCCAGGTCAGTATTAGTTCTCCAAACAGAGCGCTGCTCACATAATGTTGCGCTCCTCTGCTGTGAGCATCTGGCCATTATCAGCCTTCAGAATCCATATATCAGTAAACCTCCAAGAACCAACAGATTGATTTGTGCATCGTGTCCAACTGGCAAAAGGAAAAGGTCACAGTTATAAAGACATAAAAAACACTCGGTGTGGGACACTGTGGCGTTCGGCGCGCTGGTGATAGTTGATTTAAAGCCAAATGTGCATTCCTAAATGTCAACAAAGCTCTTCCATGTTACGGCTGATTTTATTAGTGGATTTAGATTTGAGAATCCGCTCTCAGTTTAGCGCTGAGGCTCTGAAGCTGTGAGCTTACTCTTCAGAGGATTAATATTCCTGAATCTCACAAGCTTAGGGAATAACTTTATTGTGAGTGTTGAAAAAGCTGATAGATCCTACTGTGAACTTTTTTTTTCCCCCGAGGGAACACCAGCTGACAAGTCTGCTATTGGACAGATAATGTTATCCCTTAAAATCCCCCTTATTTGTTTGTATGTTCTTTATCTGCAGTTTCCAGTGCTCTCAGTGTTTGGCTAATGGCGAGACCTATTAACTTGTCATTTGTCTTGCTGGAAAACAAAGGTTTTGGCAATATTTCTTTCTTTCTGTGTTGCATAATGAGCTACTATGCTATTCATTTAGTCTGTTTCTTCTTGGAAAGGACCTCTCATATTTATCCTTTTTTCACCTATGAGAATATTTTTCCATCTGTTGCGGTAGACATTTTGCCAGCGCGCACACACTCCAATACCCTGGAGTATCTTTGCTGTGAATAAAAAGACAAAGGATCAACAGTTGTTTTGTTTGTCTATGGGGGAGTTTGAGCGCAATTTAAAAAGCAGACTAAGTCAGAGGTAGGAGGAAGACAGCGAGAAAAACAAGGGGGATCAAAATAAACTCTTCTGCTGCAGGAAGATCAGTCTGGCTTTGAGACTTTATTGGTAATCTGCTATCAACAGAGCATGTTTGAGAAAATAGATCATCAGAACTAGGGCACGAGGAAAATGAACTTTAATTGGATTACAAGTCAGCATTAGATAGACCGGGAATAAAAGAAACGTACAAGTGAGCTCAGCAAAACCGTTGTGTGAAGAAAATATAGAAGGCAAATAGGTAAAAAAAAACACATGCTAGGAAACTTATTTTTGTTCTCCATCTACATAATTGGTTTGCTCGTGGGAAATATAAAAACAGAATCCTGGAAGAAATGGAAAAGCTTTTACACGGCAAAAGGAAATTACGTTTTGAACATAGATTTATTTCACCTGCTCCACCCAAGGATGATAAAAATGGGCGCAGTGACTCCGTTTTTCATTGGACAGCTCTAGATCAGCATGGTCCAAACCTGTCCAACAAGCTAATGGCAATAATAAAAGACCAAATTCTCACAGACTGGGTTTGAAAGTGAAGGGTTTGATTCAGGAAGGGACAGACTGTGTGTGTGTAACCGGTAAAATTGAATATGTAGGGTTGATTTACTCTTTGTCTTTACATCTTTCTTACAAGCAGCTTTAATCTAAACACGATCAGTGCTATCACACAGCGGGCGTTCTCGTTAGGCAGACGGAGGACATCGTGTTATCAGTTTCAAGACCTCTGTAAACAGCCCTTTTAATTAAGAGTGTTGAGTTGTGCTCCACTCTGGTTTGTACAGAGATGGATTGGGATAAAATAGAGCATGCAAAACAGAGCCAAAGTGAAGATAAGGAGAAGAAATCTATCAATCCCACATCTGCTGACAGGCTAGAGGTTTTATCATAAAAAGTATCAAATAAAATATAAAAAAATAAACACAACAACAAGACAGAAATATGATGTTTTTAACCCATTTGTTGAAAGGTGGTTTGAATGTAAATTCATGTAAAATAAATTGCATGTCACTATTTTAAAATGCAATTACACTTCCAGAGTAATCTTAAGGAAAACATATATTTCCCATTCAAATTGAGACATGTAACAACGTGAAATTAGTATAAACCCAGAGACAATTTCATCCAATCCAATGTGCAATTTATTTAGATCCTAAGAACTGTAATACATCTGTATAATATTGAATCCACTGGAATTGGTGACAGTGCACATGCAACAAAAATGAACATGACTTCACCCATGAAGAGAAATTCAACTAAATCTGGTATTTCTAGATGTAATTCCCAATGATCTACATGAATTAGTGACTGGGGAAACTTCTTTTTCGAGTAATCCGACTGTGCTGATAAGAAGAAATTCCAGTAAAACGTGTAACCTGTGGGAGGTTAGCTGCATGAGGACTGTGCATGCCGCAAAACTACAACTCTACTAATCAGCCGATGTTTTATGAGAGAAAAGAGATGAGCAACTGTGGATGGTAAACATGAGCAGCCAACCCTGTTCTCTAAATGGAGGCCATGTGCCCACTGGTCTCCGGGGGGTTATTACGCATGGTACGCCGTGCAATATGAGAAATGTTTGTTCTACCATCAAACGCACTCCTTACATGCAAGACTCCACAATAAAACAATTAGTGCACTGCATCAGAAATTTGAGACGCAAACCCCCAAAGAGGAAAGAACACAGGCAAACATTTTTCATTTCTCCGTTTAGCGTCGTTTATTCCACGGTTCTTCCATCCCGGAGTGACAACCGTGCATTTCTTTCATTCAAACACGTGTTTTTTCGAAACACTTACATATTGACAAGTCATTTAGCCGCTATCATTACAGCCTCTGCCTCCAGGGCACGTTGTTTTTTTGCACTAACCAGGAACTGTTACCTGGTGTCAGAGTTTTTTTCTCATCTACCGGTAAAGGGGAATTAAACGCAGCACATAATAAGACAAAGATGGAACTCAATACAAAGAAAACATACATACTGTCTTAGCTTGACTCAATTAGCTCTCTTATTACCCGGGAAGAAGTCTACAGAGACGGCCACAAAGGCAAAAACGCGACAGAAAAGAAAGCAATTTCCATCCATTCAGAGGTGTGAGAAGTGGTTACATATCGACTGCTTTGTGCATGTTAATCTCAGTGTGAATAGGTGGATCTTTAGTATTTATAAGCAGCATTTAAGTATGACATGCAATAATCTACTCTTTAGAATATAGTTGGCATTTTTCAATAGTGGATGAGATATCAGAGAAGAGAGGCACTAAAACTAATACATAGACATTTCTGATCAACCTCAGTAATTCTCCAAAGCTTTTGTGAAGAAGTTTAAAAGCTCCTGTTCTTAAATTTCGGTTTCATAACCCGAAACTGAAATATGTGCCACAACATTTATATATATATATATTGTTTTTATTTTATTTTCCTCCTAAAATTCTTAGAAAATCAGCTATTTATTTCAATATTCAATTCAAATGATTCTCAACATTGACAGAATAAGGGGAACAAATACATTATATCTGGATTATATGTGTGTTTAACAGTTCACAGACTAAAACGGCTATTTTAACATAAAGCCGGCTAGTTGGGAGAGTTTTATTGGAATTCTAGTGAGCCGCTTATGGAGTCCACAAAAAAAAAAAAAACTTGATCCACATTGTTTTTAATGAAATTAGCTCATTTCCATATGCAGCTATCGGACTCTTGGCTTTAACACACATAAAGCCTCTGCTTAAAATGTATTGATGGGAGTTAGTAACAGCATGAAGCAAAATAGAATAAGACTAATGATGTGCAAAAGTACAGGAAACAGACACATTTTACTCAAACGCATTCCTTTAAAACACATTTAGGGCCCAGAGAGGAGCTGGTTGTGGCTGCCCTGCTGTTTTTCCAATATGAGGATCATGGAGACCCACACATGAGGGATTTTGAACCGGATCAATTCTTTTCTTCTTTCTTTTTTTTTTTGCTTTGTGACAAAGCATCAGCTTTCTGCTGGGGTTATATCCAAAGACTGGGATAAATACTGTGCATGTGTACGCTGTGCTGTATTCAAACTCCCACATGGTTCAACATGCCTGAATCAATTTATAGGGATTCCAGTGCATAAATAAAAAAATAAAAAAAGAAGAAAAAAAAGTGAATACAGTCTAAAACAATGTCATCGCACGGAAAAACACAAAGGAGCGCACAAACGGTGACGGGATCAAAGTTGCTGAAAAAGACATCTTGTATGTTACGTGTGGCGGATTATCCCGGTTTAACGCTGAAAGAAGAATGAACTGAAAGCTCGCACCGTAAATATGATTACCACTGGCCCTTTTTTAAGATTTGTACACAGATTTTAATTAGATCCATCAACGTGGCGAGCGCGGCGGCGTCTGATAAATTGGGTCATTCCCGTGAAGAAGGCCCTCTTTCTGGTGGAGGATTCGCCCTGAGGAGGAAAGCACGCAGCTGCTACTGAGACCAGGCAGAAGAATCAGAGCCGAGAGGAAAGTGGGTGGACGAGACAGCCAATCATTCTCCCTTTTGTTTGTAAAAGCAGATTTCTGGAGACTGCTGCGTATTATTTTCTCTGTTCAGAGGAAACAATGCATCCGCGCTGTGGTTCGGTTTAGAAAACTTGACATGGCTTACACTTGTACTTGTACATCCGCTTTGACACGGTTTTAAAACAAAACAAAACAAAGGAATGGAGAAGAAATACTTGCTGCTAAATTATGTATCATATTATTAAAACCAGTGGCCCCTTTTGAGAGCATGAAATAATAAAACAGAGAATAAAGAGGAATGTCTTCCCGAGGAGTTAAAGTGACACTGATGGCCTTCTATTATAGTTTTGGAAGAGGCCACTTTGGTTGGGTTCCAGTTATTATTTCAAGTTTTTTTCCACTCCAATTCATTCATACTTATCACTAAAGCTGCCTGAATTTGATACGATTGCATCCGCTCATTTCTTAATGAGTTTGGTTTCTGGTTTGTGGGCCTCGGGTGAAATGGGGTTTCTCTTTGCTGTTTTTCTTATCGAGGCTCCCATCTCTTTGAATGTCTTCGCCGTGCACGTTTGTGCATTTCCCTCAGACAGCTGCTACTGAATAAACATTGTTTACTTCTTAATGGAGCAGGGAGAGCACCTGAACTCTCTCTGTTCTGATTCACACGCGAACAAACGGACAAACACTTATACGCACATGCAAATAAAAGAATAATAAAAATAAAAAACATGCAAGTAAAAGAAGAAGAAAAAGCATGCAACTACATGAACCATGAAAAAGGAAAAAAAAAAAAAAGCATGCAGGTATCATCTGTACGAGTTGGGATCATCTCTGTGTAATCCAAATGAATTTGAGGGATTTAATTCATCCACCAATCCATCGCTGCTTAGATTTATTAGAGAATTATGAAACGATGCTCTGTTTTAACATAATGAATATCAAACACGCTTTATTTTATTTTATTTTATTTCATTACAAATGAACACCAAGGAATATCCAGTCAGACTTAAGCCTTAAACTGGCACAGATATGCTTAAATACGCCCCCCCAAACTGGCAACCGGAGCAAGGAAGGTTCTCCGGTAGGAACAGATGGCCTGAACTCTGTAGGGATGATCACAGAGAGGATGGAGGTCAGGAACCAGTGAGGGAGGGAGGGAAGGAAAAGAAGGGAAGGGGTGGAGGAGGAGGGGGGAAAAGCTGAAAGGAAAAAAATCAGAGCAGGCTGGACTGGAAGGAAAGGAGCTCTTTTAAAACCTTTTTATTTAAAGACCCACTTTTTCTCTCAGGCCTTTGAATGAGACTTCGACGTTATCTTAGTTGTCTTAATTTCCCTCTCTTACTTGGTTTTGTTTTTTCTTATTTTTATTTTCTTTTGCTCTTACTGTTTTTTTTTTTATCTTTGAGTTTGTCTTGTGTTGTGGTGATAATTGTGTTTTTATGATCTGCTCAAATGGCCTGTACAGCGCTTTGATTTTAGCTTTGGCTAAACTGAAAGCGCTTTATAAATAACGTTGAGTTGAGTTGAGAAATGAAGTCGTTTGAGCTAGGAGCAGAGACGTTTAAAGTACTGGAGTAGAGAAGTGGAGTAGAAGTACAAGTACTATGTAAAAAAATTGACTTGAGTAAAAGTGGAAGTATTCTTTCAACACCATACTTAAGTGGAAGTACGGAAGTACTCAGTTTTTTTTGTACTTAAGTATTGCAAGTAGAAGTATTTCAAAAATTGCTACTCAAGTATCGAAAGTACAAGTAAACGTAAAAGTACAAGTACAAGCAGCAGTACAACTATAAAAGGCCATAAAGGGGTTTCCAAAAAAAATAAAAACTACATATGCATTAGCAATCAACAGTACTTTGGGATGATTCATTACGTTTACATATTAGTAACGAGTAACGATTCAGCCCGTGAAAGTAAAAGTAAAAGTATTAAATTAAACAAAAGTGTGTAGTGGAGTAAAAGTAAAAATAGGTCAAAACATATCTACTCCAATAAAGTACAGATACTGCATTTTGGTACTTAAGGACAGAACTTAAGTAGTTCTACTTCGTTACTGAACATCTCTGGCTAGGAGTGAGGTTGGGTCTAAAAAAAGGATGATCAGAGAGGAGGGCGAGATGTCCACAGGCATACGGAGAATACTGAGTAACATAATGAATATCAAACACGCTTTATTTCATTTTATTTTATTACAAATGAACACCAAGGAATATCCAGTCAGACTTAAGCCCACGTGCAGATAAACTGGCACAGATATGCTTAAATACGTCCGGAAATTAGGACGGATATGGAAGCTGCTTGAAAAAAAAAGAGGAAATAGAGGACAAATGCATCACATAGAAATTATTCTAATCCCATAACTAGTAATTCAATAAGAGATAATTCACAGCCTGACTCGTTCAGCCTTAAACTGACTACAGAAGTCAGACTTGATGAGTCGTGCTGATTAACAAAGACTTATTCTTCTTTTCTCACTAAGGGATGTGATAAACCTTAGCCGAGCCATTTTTTATTATTTTTTTTATCTCCTCTTGATCATTCATAGGCTAATTGGAATCTCAAAAAAATTTGCCAAAATAAATGTATCATTGAAGTTCCACGGTTATTCTTTTTTTCCATCCTATCAAGATCTGCTATTTTCCCACCACCAGGAGACTTTCCCTTCTGTGAAAAAAAAAAGCAAGCTTAAATTAATCTCATCATTCCACCTCAAAATATCACCAGATTCAAAAACACTGGAGGTGAGCGTGGGTTGAGAAAATGCTCAGGCATTTCTGAATATACTGCATACCGCAATGGCATTTCTGTATTAATCGTATTGATTATAGATGCCTAAATGTAAAGTTAAGAAACAAAAACTTAAGACGAAATCTGATTCATCAACCCTTTTGAAGCCGTTAACTTTGAAAATTCAACAGAAAGCAAAATACAGACACTCTGTAACTGACAATGATGCACAGATTTTGAGCCGTTGATCAATTTATTTTTATTTTTTATTTTTATTTTTTATTTATTTTTATTTATTTATTTATTTTTATTTTTTTTTTTATTTTTTTTTTTTTCTTCTTTATTTTCCTTTATTTTCCTTTATTTTTCCTTTTTTATTTTTTTTTCCTTTGATCAATTTAACATGCAAGGACATGGAAACTCAAACAGAACAGCCCAGATTACAACTACTTACTACTAACTAACTACTACTACATACAATGCCATTGTAAACATGCTTTTGCCAGTTTAATTTAAAGTATAGATCAGAGTAACATGGTATGGATTACAACTGGGATAAATATGTCTCTGGAATGTGACGGGGGTCTGAAATCTTGCAGGAGATGTTGGGAAGAAACACTATAAAAATGAATGGGGGCTAAAGTTTACATTGGTCGATACTTTATGCCGGCCTTGCAGAAAAAGCAGAGGTTTGGTGGAATTAAAAGGTTAAAATCATATTTTTTATGAAGTCAACTCACCTCACAAAGCAGCAGAAGACCTCTGGTGTGCTTTCTACATGGTGAGGTTGTGGTTATTTATTTTATAAAGCAGAAGTAGTTAGTTAATAGAAAGTAGTTAGAATCTGGTCTGTTCTGTTTGAGTTTGCATGTCCTCGCATGTCAAATTAATCAATAACTAAATAATCTGTGCATCTTTGTCCATCTCAGATGTCTCTCTGTGTATGTTTATGTCTGGAGACATCTCCAGGGGTCATGTGGCCAGTTGGTTGTCTCTGTGTGCTCCGGTTCTCTGACGACCCCGGCTCGTCAGCGGGATCAAAAAAATCAATAGATGTGTTAGAATCAATGCTCGTGGTCAGGTTTAAATATTTCAAAACACGGGGTTAGATGGTCTTAAAAACCTCTACACGTTACACCTTCATTTTCTTTCTCGTCCAAAGCTTTGGCAGCCATGAGCCAAAGTGGAGTTCAGTATTTTGTCCACGCAAAGGGGAAGGAAAATGGAGTTCTTTCACATTTTGCTATCCATGTGTCATCCTCATCATGCAGGTCAATGCTACCTCTTTAGTTTTCTTTATTTTTCCCCGTTCTTTTTATTTTAATCTGCAAACGATGGATGAATTGGTAGTTTTAAAACGTATTCCTCACATCGCACACTGTTTCTAAATCCCCATTCTTTTATTTTAATCTGCAAATGAGGGATGAGTTGGTAGTTTTTAAATGAATTCCTCACATCACACACTGTTTCTAAATCAATAACTGGCCAATTGACTGTTTCAAAGAGATGTTTTTTTTTCTTTTATGAAGTACTTTCACATTTTGCTATCCATGTGTCATTCTCATCATGCAGGTCAATGCTACCTCTTTAGTTTTCTTTATTCTTTCCCGTTCTTTTTTATTTTAATCTGCAAATGAGGGATCAGTTGGTAGTTTTAAACGTATTCCTCACATCACACACTGTTTCTAAATCCCCATTCTTTTATTTTAATCTGCAAATGAGAGATGAGTTGGTAGTTTTTAAATGAATTCCTCACATTGCACACTGTTTCTAAATCAATAACTGGCCAATTGACTGTTTCAAAGAGATGTTTTTTTTTCTTTTATGAAATACTTTCACATTTTGCTATCCATGTGTCATCCTCATCATGCAGGTCAATGCTACCTCTTTAGTTTTCTTTATTTTTCCCGTTCTTTTTATTTTAATCTGCAAATGAGAGATGAGTTGGTAGTTTTTAAACGTATTCCTCACATTTCACACTGTTTCTTAATCAATAACCGGCCAATTGACTGTTTCAAAGAGCTGTTTTTTTCCCGTTTTTTTCATAGTGGAATCTTTGTTTCTGCATATTCAGGTCATATTTTTGGGTCGTTTTCAGAGTGGGGTTCTCACCCACCTACAGCTCACGTCCTCCATCTATCCGCGTCTCTCTTTCTTTCTAATCACGGCCTCGGGGCTCCATGAGCGGACGGCTGAGGTTAACGCTCCCCGGAGGAGCCAGGCGATTGTAAATGAGGCAGAGGTGAAAACGAGCGGTGAAACCGGCAGATAAAAGCGGTGAGGGATGAGGCAGACGTTCGGAGAGAGCACCTTAAAAGAGACTGACACATGAGAGGAGAAGAGAGGGGAAAGAGGGAGAGAGACTGAGAATTCCAATTTGAGTCAGCTATGATCTTATTCTTCCCCAACACTTCCTCAACTCTCTTGCTCCAGTATCTCAGCCCGACTTTATCGTGATAATTACACACAATTCCTGCTCAAACACAAGTTATTATTCGTAAACTTGAAAATAAATATGCTATGACAATGTTTCAATGCTTAAAATGGATGTCTTGATCGTTTATTTTAATTAAAATCTGCTATGTTTTATCCTTGAGTTGAGTTTTAAACTCTGAAAGGGTTTGAAACCTTTAAAAGTTTTGTATCTGCCAAATTTCAAATGGGTAAACAAATATCTATGCAACTACTACTTAATATATAATATCAGACCTTTTCTGTCAAGTCCTTCTCAAAAAACTTCGAAATGTTTATGATAAATCATAATAAAACCCTAAACCACATAGGCCGAGAAAACCAATGAAGATAAAACCCGTTTTTTTCACTTCTCCCAAGAACTTGTCATTAAGTCTTCTCTCATTTTCTTTCTTCCATATCTGGTATTTGAGTCTTTTCCAGGTCAGACATCACACAGTGAGCTGAGTTTAAACTTATTAATCAGGATGGCTTAACATGGCCTCGAGCCTCCAACCTGCATCGATGGTAAATGAATAAGAGTTTCACACACATTCACTGGGATCCTTCCATCTTTGTGGGGTGAAACCACTGAGATAGTAGATTCTGTAACTCAAACCACAATCCAAACATTACGAAGAAATAACAAAAATCAACTTTAGATATTGCAATAATGACTTGACAACAATATCTCTCTGACCCACATACAAAAGAAACTTACAAATAAAAACATCTCAATTTCTTTCTAGTCTGTTGAGCAATCTACAAGACAACCAGTGGTGCCAAAATAAAGTGGAAAAACCGTATTTTCCCTTGTAAATATAATTTAAAACGTTTGAGCTGTATATCTGCAGGATCTGAGTGTTTAAACTACCATAATCTCATCCATACCAAAAGGCCCCCGAGGCTGCAGAGAGCTGTCAAAGAGCCTCATTCAGAAGACCCCATTGCACTCCTTTTAGCAAAAAATCAGAAGAAGAGTTTAATTCTTCTGGACACACAAGGTTCATTTTTTTCGTCTTCTTCTTCTGAGACATGCGATTTGAACAGTGTAAAACGGAAAAATGGAAAGAAAATTAAAAGAGAATGGAAATAAGAGAAAATATGTGGTTCAGGTAATTTTACAAAGATATTTTTTTGGTTTAAAAATCTCCTCTTCCTCACCTTAATGAAGAGTCCTGTGGAAATTGGGTTTAACGTTTCCAGTGGGGATAAAAACGTAAGAAAGCACAATAATCAAAGGAAATGATGGTTTAGCTAACAACAACTTTTCTATATCTGCTTATTTGCTGATGAAGCAAAACGAGAGAACACATATGCACAGTTTTTGTCCATTAATCTTTTCCAGCGAATCCAAATGCTGAAGGTCTCTATTTCTGCTCCATACGTTTTTCCTTCATTTTCAAACGAGGCGTATATAACCCTTCCGCCATGTGTGAAAATGTGCAAAAACAAAGTAAAAAAACACCAGCTCTCATCCTCCTGCTTGCCAATATGTCCCAGTCAGCTTAAAAAAAGCCTCCCCCTCAGGGCTGAAAGCACCAAACGCAGAGGTAGATGTGACTCCCTGACCTCCTCCAAAACTCAGAGAGGCTGCAGGTCAAAGGTCAGCGCTCGTCTCTGGGCTCAGGCCTCATTGAGGAGGACGTGTTCGGTTCGGCTCTGCCCCGGGCTTTTGATTATTACGACCTGATATGCAGCTAAATATCCTGCCTTTGCTTTCAAACCAGCCCCTCACATCCTGCCTCTGAACTTTTTTTTATTTTTTATTTTTTTTCCTCCAGCAGCTCTAAAGCCACGCTCTGTCCTATTTAATTAGTCACAGTCACCTTTTTTTTTTCCGTCTTCTGTTTCAACTCGTCCGACTGGGTTTTTGTCTTTAAAAGGGTTGTTCCCCTGCCCTTTGTTAGCTTAATTTACTGCAGCCTGAGCTTTACCTCGTACTCCCGTACACACAACGCACTGATGTGTGAATTAGCATGTGCAGACAGTTATCCCTGTTAACTCATTGGCTGCCAAAGACGTCTATAGACGTCTTAAATGTTTTTCAACGAGAGTGGCTGGGGGACGATCTGCTAAAGCTTGTCCGTAAATATCGGCTTCTAGACAGAGTATGTAGTAACAAATTTACCCTCTAGGGGGCAGTCACTTTTGATGGGAGATGAGCATAGATTGTAGGCAAATAAAAACAAACGCAATGGTTAGCTATGAGAGAAATGGTGCCAGTGAGACGCACGTCGAAGAAGAACGGAATAAGGTAGAAACACATTTTTTTTCCTGATGAAAGAAGAGAGTCTACTCTTTCTTTTGGTGTGTTCGGTGTTTACATAGTCATAGCACAAACTATTCTGTGGCTCTTGAAAAATCAGTCAAAATGCTCAAAAAACTCTGGCAGTATAGGACTCTGTTCTGGAAATGGCTGCCAGTCAATGAGTTAAGAACAATTTTTGTTTCGGGCTAATTGTTTTTTCCACTCCCTTTTATCCAACGAGTGGACAAAAAATATATATATTTGAGAGGAAGTAAAGTAAAATGAATGGGGTATAACCAGACGTTTTGATAATGTGATGCAGTCCTTTAAATTTATTACATTAAACTGAGCTGTAATGTTTATTAGTAAAGTTGGACATGTATGACAGGTTCCTTTTACTGTCCATTTGAAAATGTGATCATTCAGAAAAGAACAAACTGTTATTGTACTAATTTGGGGATTGTTTTACTCAATAAAACGGGACTGAATTTAATCTTGTTCATGTATTTTTGATGTGTTTTGGGTGATTTTGAGTTAAAGTGACCTAAAATAATTTATGTAATCGGTTTCATCAAATAATTCAAGTTCTCTTATATCTTATTTTGAGTTAAACCTAAGTAAGTTCTTACAGAGTAACAGAGTTGGTAGAGCTTCTTGTGATTTGAACATTTTAATTAAACACAAACAAAAGTTTGTACTTTGGAAACAAAATTACTAGTAAAACATACTTGATCAGAGAAAAGTTTGCTAAACTTGTCAAAGTAAGTTAATGCCACTTGTAATTACAAGTGTAGATAACTGAATCAGGACTACTTCATAAACTTAAAAAAAAAAAGTCAACTGTAATTAAAAAAAATTATGTAATCAGTTTCGGCAAATCTTTTGAGTTGAATGAACTTGTCGGGTTTTACAGTGTGGGTGTCAAAAAATTGCAAAAACCATCCACCTGGCAGTCTGTCACCGACCTAAATCCCATCATTTAGAGCAGATCCACACAAACCTGCACACTTCCACAAAGAGGCAAAGCTATTTTAAAGAAAAGCAAATATGTGGAAAGCTTTTTTAAACTCTCCAAAGCTCACTTTTCTTCCAATATGGGCCCCTTTCCGGCAAATCCCCCCAATCAACACACTGACATTCCCACACAGTATTGAAAAGGTCTGCTAGACAAAAGCCTCTGCCAGTCAGACTGCTTATTCAACAGCCCTGACATGTATTGTTATTTGAAACCGCTGTCAGACAAACTAGACAACACACACACACACACACACACACACACACACTCCCACGCAGACCAGTGGTGGGAAGTAACGAAGTACAAGTACTTCGTTACTCTACTTAAGTACAATTTCCGTGTATCTGTACTTTACTTAAGTAGATTTAATAATGGATACTTTCTACTTTTACTCCACTACATTTAACAGTAAGTATCTGTACTTTCTACTTCACTACATTTCTATACAGCGCTTCGTTACTCGTTACATCCAAGACGCATTTTTTTTATTTGTTCGTTAGTTTGAAAGTATCCAATGGCGAGAGCAGAATCAGTCCGCTGAACCAATCCAAAGCGGGAAATAACCATTAGGCCCTCCCTCAAGAAGAGCAGCACAGTACCAGGACCTGCATAAAATATCTAAATCTAAACTGTCACAGGGGGTAAACACAATAAAAACATGCTTTATCTGCAGCTTTGCTCATTAAAATGGTACATTACTGATTTATTCAAACTAAATACGATAGGTACACTTAATGACATTATATAAGCCGTTAGGTATTATGGTTGGCAAGTACTTTTACTTTTAATACTTAAGTAGTTTTAAAAGCTTGTACTTTCTTACTTTTACTTAAGTAAAATAATAATGTGGTACTTTGTGGGAATTGTTGGGTTTCTGTAATTAACCTCAGAGTAGGGTCTGACCTGCTCTGTTTGTAAAGCGCTGTGAGACAACTGTTGTTGTGACGTGGCGCTATATAAATAAAATTGAATTGAATTTGACTTTTACTTGAGTAAATTTTTGTCTGTGTATTTGTACTTTTACTTAAGTACATTGTATGAGTACTTTCTCCACCACTGACTGCTTAATCATCTGACAACAAGTAGCCCATTGTGCTATTATGACTTTTTAGAGCGGCCCACCACCCGAGGGGGGGAGGCCCATCTTCCAATCAAAGGCTCATACATGCTCACATCACAAGCCAAGCATGTGAGGACGAATAATACAGATGTAGCCAAAGATCACGTTGGTCAGCTGAGACACTGCTCCTCTTCCCTTCACTTTTTCTTGACCTTCACCGAGTGCCAGATGGGAAAAAAAAAAAAGAAAAAAAAAAAAGAAGATATGCAGGAGTCATGGGAACGCGTTTGCATGGTTCCCTGCAGAGAATTTGGTCTAAAAGCCTTTTTTAAGTGAAGGGAATGGAGTTTTATTTATTTATTTACGCATTAAGGCGTTGATAAAGGATAAGCAACGTCTAAAAAAAGACTCTGCATTCCTACCGCCGCATCAAAAAAGCAATTACACTAAATCTTTAAGTTTTCAGAATGGACAGAAATGTCTTTGTGGCCCCGTGTTACTGCACGTTCGTGTTTAATGAACTATTAATGGTCGATTATGTAATGTTGCAAATAGTAATTTAATTATGCACGTTAAGACACACCAGTGCTTATATCCATGAATAAATAATGTTAACTCAGTGAAAATATGATAAAAGTGGCCATTTATCACCATTATGTCTGTGGCAAAATGTCTGAATAAGTAGAGGGTTTGGTGAGGGGGTACAAGAAATTAACCTGAAGACTCATTTTAAGATGCTGGTCATATCTATAAATGCCAATTTGTTTGAGAGCAATGTGACAAAACCCTAGAATTTTTAAAGTCAGGCGATATGACCTGCAGGTTGAAAAGTATGCAAATCAAACTGTATAATGTCAAAGCCAGAAAGGCTTAAAAATGTGGTGCCATTCCTAGCTTGGACAAATCTTTCTGAAATATTGTGCAAAATGCAAAAATGTCCTTTTTTTTTTTTAGTAAAAAGTCATGGTAGTAAAACTGGAGACGTTGGGTCTAAAGGACAGACAAACAAAGAGGTGGAAAATCTGTACGACTGAAAATCTTAATTTGGTCTAGTTCTTTTTTTTTTCATGTCTTCACGGATTTTATTAAAATGCCCCCTTTTTTTTGCAGGAACCGAGCAAAACTATGACAGAATGGGGGCAGTGCTCATTAGTCTTGCGCACACTCTCTTTGGAGGCATCAATTATTTCTGCGACGGAAACGAGGGGCCTGACACAGACGGACGTCCACTTCCTGTCCAGGATCAGGCATTTCACAAAGGGCCGTTTTTTTAGGAAAGAGTAAATATGCACAGGGAAATTTAACTTTGCTTTACGTTCTCCTGCGAACTTTAATTAGGCATGTGCATTTGGAAATAGCAATTTCCTAACACATGGCTGCACAAGATCAGAGTTGTGTTTTAACATAAATGCTGCAAATTAAAGGCAAGGCAATTCTCCTGATCCATGTCAGGGGCATTTTTTTCTTTACATATCCATCCATTTTTGAGAGAACCACTAAATATGCAGCAGACTGCCAAAGAAAAATCATATCAGTATCACTTGGTGACTTGAGTTATTTCCCTAGAATGCAGTAAAGGTCATGAATTGTATTCTTTCTCAAAGCAGCTGCCGTAATATTTCCTGTCCAGAGAATTCCACGGTTCATATTGGGAATAGTATCCATTGCCACAGATCCTTATAGTCCAAGAACAGGACATAAAACATTGTCTAAAAAGATCTGGACATCTCCATATAGTTTTTTTCTGCAAACATTTTCAGTTTCTTTCATCTTTCTGCATAATTCAAATGGTTTGTTGAGGAGAAAAGCCACATCACAAGAGGATAAAAAGGTAACAGTGGGATGCTGTTTGTGGTTGGTTTAATATTTTTGGTAACTTTCACATCTTTTGTAATTCTGATCAATAACTTTAAAAGATGTATGCAATGAGAAAATGTACTTTTGGAGCCTCCTTTTTCGATAATCATCAAGTAATATTAAAATGTATTTCTCTAATATATTATGAATATGCTAACCTAGCTGGCCGATCCTCGTACATCTTTACCTTTTTATTATATTCCTCTAAAATTACTGCCCTTTTGACTTGATTGAATTTATATAGCTACACATTGCCAGCGATAACTTTAACACATGAGTGTAGAAGATTAAATTGATGCACACAAAATTTTTTAAAAAGCCCAACAAAATGGTTGTGATCTCACAATGTTTGTCAAGGAAAACAATCCTAATACATCATTATTGGTGAGACATAACTGATGAACACCTTAGTCACAATTTAAATTAAATTATACTTCATTTGGTCTTTTTTTGGAACATTCCCAGACATATTTATCTCTATGCAGGTGCAAGAATAATGTTTGTTTTTTTACGTTCAAACGTAAAAAAACAAACCCTAACCCTAACCCTAACCCTTAACCTTTAATAAAAACTTTTTTTTTCTTAACAGTGTTCATTCATTCTGATATCTATTAAATGTATTGATAAAAACTACAATTCAACACCAATAAATGATAGTACTATAAGTAACCTTTTCCTAGTGTTAGAGATAAAATCCATCCATCCATCCATCCATCCATCATCCATCCATCCATCCATCCATCCATCCATCCATCCATCCATCCATCCATCCATCATCCATCCATCCATCCATCCATCCATCCATCATCCATCCATCATCCATCTACCATCCATCCATCCATCCATCCATCCATCCATCAATACATCATCCATCCATCCATCCATCCATCTACCATCCATCCATCTACCATCCATCATCCATCTACCATCCATCCATCCATCCATCCATCCATTCATCCATCCATCCATCCATTCATCCATCCATCCATCCATCCATCGCCCTACATTCAAACCATTCATCAGAAAACCCTCTGTAGCCATTCATTGCAAAGAATGAGAATGAAATCATTTGCACACACATCCACGATGACCGATATTTCTAAAAGTATATCATATGTATGCGGGCCTTTATCTGGTGGATAGAATTCATTTGCACATTTTCAGTCATCAAACAGCCGTTTTATTCTCCTCGTCTCTGGAGTTTAAACCACAGCGGTTTTGCATTTGCAAAATTTTCCAAGAACCTCGAGGGCAGAACAAGAGTAGAAACACTAAAAAGCATGTGTTCCACAAGAAATTCTACAATCTATTGGAAAGCATGTAGGCCTACAGCTACACAGATACCTAAACTCTCCATTACAACAATCACTTATTGTCCTGTAATTAAATCACATTTTCGGGAGTTTCACAAACAAATAAAAAAATCAATTTAAACATAATTGGAAGATAGATATAATCATATTTCAACCCCGGTTCTTTTTATTCATAGATTGGAATTAATCAAATAAGAGTCACTGTTTGAGCTATGAAAAAGAAGGTTTTTCTTGGATGATATGGAACATTTAATTCTTTTTACTCCCTATAAAGGAAAAAAAAGCACATATTTACTATGTTTTTCTGTAGTGAACACCTGGGAGAGTTAATCTCAGCCTCTATCTTGAATGAAATCACTCTATATTATGATATATGCCGTTGTTAAAGATTAGGTGGCTGTTGTGAGTCTGTTTCTTTTCAACAAGCTGGACTGTTTTGTGAGCAGCCAGATTTCGTAACAGACTAAAGGCGCAGTCGTACATCAAACGCTTTGGACACCAAAGCTAATTAACTTTAGATGGAAAACTCGAATGTCAATTTGGGTAATAAAAACGGGAATGTCACCACTCTCAATCTAAGTTTACCTCAGGAACAAACTGACGTGATTAAAGCTGATAAGGAATTTAAATGGTGTTTTAGTTTACCAGTGGCACCTTTTCACATGTGCCATATTTATTTGGTTTCAGCTGTAATTGAAAGCAATCACTTGTAAATCACACAATCATTGGAGTGCTGATTATAATCTTGTGTGATGTGAATTCTAACTTCACTTAAAGGCAAATCAATCGAAAGCTTTCTATCAAACAACCCGAGCAAGTTATTTGCTAAATCAACTTATCTTCAACAAGTCAAAAGTTGCTTTCTTTTATTCATTTTTTTTGCTTTGGGCTGGTTGTTTGTGGTTTTGCCAACAGTGTATGTTATATGTGTGAGTCTGTTTTACACAACTAAGATCTAATTTCTCTTCTCTGTAACAAAACCCACTTTGTTAGCTACTTTAGCGGAACATAATCAGTGCTTAATGAGTCCCTTAATCACGTTGTGTACAGTCTAAAATGAATAATACAATTTCATCAAACTGCTATCGGTTATAAGAGCCTAGAAATAATGGTTACTTCACATAGCTAGTAATGGGCTGGTATTGTTCAGTGTTTTTTTTATCCATCAAATGTGACGTAAATATGCTCATTAGATGATTGAACAGCAGACTGGACACCGTCCATTCACAATCCTCTGCTGTTAATTTGAGGTGTTTTGCAGTTTTTTTCCTGAAAAACCTGAGAAAGATTCCAACATGAACGCATCTTTCTATATGTATGGAATAGAGAGAATGAGGAAAATTACTTTACTCACTCATCGGGCAGTTTTTGTGATATTTACCTGCATATTCGGATTACTTTAGAATAATATAAACAGATCTAAACATTTGAAACATCGGCGTAACTCTCTTCCAAGTGTTGGACCGATTGGTTCTGGTTAGTGGACTGTAGGGTCACCTCATTGTATTCAACGGATGATGTGGTCCACTTCAGTTCAGCTAATTTAAGCTAAGGCCTTCAGCATGGATCACATCTGAGTGTGGCCTCGCTGGGATGGAAGTCAGCTTCACCTCATCCGAGGCCACGGCTCATAAATGGAAAAAGGTGGGCGTCCTTGCTGGGTCAGGGGTAAAGTCCTTGAGTGGGGTGTAGCAATCTCTCGGATCAGAGCTTCATCAGCATGAAGGAGAACACCGATCTGGTCTTTTGTGGCTAAAAGCTGGGCTGGAAGGCCCGATTTTAAATGTATTGGCCTGTTTTTTGTCGTATCACCTCTGGGTGGTAAAATGAGGTTACAGGTTCACTGAACTGGGTTTTCTTTTTGGGGATTTTCTGTGTGAATTTATTTTATTTTGTTTTACTTCTAATATCTATTTTATATCTTTGTGTATTTTTTGATTAATGTACATAATTTGGGAAAATATTGTAACAATGTCATATGGAGACGTCACCGATTGGGTCTTCACTTGATCACGTGATGCCTTTGATAGGAAGTTCTGAGTTTGTTTATAATTAGTCTGCGTGTTCAAGAGTAAAGGCAAAGGACTAAAAAAATGGAAGAAATGGACTTCTAGCAACTCCTAACCTTCTGGTTGGAGGGGCATACGGTACGGACAATTTAGAGAATTTATATTTTGCTTAATAAGTTTCATTTGATAATTCATGTATGGTAACATGACGGTTTTATTGATGAATATTTTCCACCGCGTATTTTGCAGTGTTCACGGTGGTCTTGGGCGTTTGCATGACGAAAAATCTTTTAAGAAACGTTTGGAACCATCGGTTGGATATTTGCACTTTCATCAACCAGTGAGAAAAAGTTGGGAGCAGCTATAATGTGGAGGGAAGTGGAGAAGAGCAGCTGTTGATCAGTAATGAATGAGCCAAGTGAGGTGTTTCGGGCATCTGGTTAGGATGCCTTCTGGAACTTGCTGGAGGGATTGTGTGTCCCTTCTGGCCAGGGAATGCCTCAGATCTCCAAAAAATGCTAGAATATTTGACTGGGATGGGGGTTATTTGGATGGAAGGGTAGAATAAGCTTAGGGTTTAAAACTCCAAGACCGTGAAGATGCTTACAGTCAGTCACAGAACCAAAGTAGATGGAAACCCACAAGAATCCAAGCTCCATTTTGACCTGTATTTCATTTAGAATGACCAATTTACCTTAAATTGTGTTGGGAAGAGGCAAAGGCACTGACAGGAAATGGAAAACATGCAGCCTCCATGCAGAAATGAATGAATTTAAACCATGAAGAGTGTAGTGATGGAGATATGTGCTTGTCTTTCTTGAGATGCTCA